TTGATTGAAACTGATAAGATGGTTAAAGAGAACTCTTCTTGAATGACCACCATTTGGGGAATTCCTGTTTTCTAGCAAAGCTGTCCGTCAAGCAAATTTCTGTTACCTGAACCTTTTATGTTTTCTTTCCTTTATAAAACTGGAGACCTATGTACTTAGGAGAAAAATACTTGTAAACTATTTTACTGTAAATGTTTAGCAGTTAAACATTTTTGAGAAGGAATTAAGAAAGTAGAATTCTAAACATTGTTGTACATTGGAACATTTTGCCTTTAAATAGTTACAATACCAGCAGACTGTCAATCTTTTTCTTTTTTGGTAGCAGTTCATTTTAGGAACCCTGGGGCCTTCACTCCATGACATGCCATCACGCATAGTGGTACAATTCCAGACTTTCTTCCATGACTGGTTTGGTCTGCATGTTTATAGTGCTAATATAATTGACCTAAAACCTCTTCTGAAACATTAAATTATTATTCTTAGCACATTTAAAAATAGAAATATGTAGAATAGAATATTTTCTGTGCACGTGGCTCTTGAGAGGCTTTAAGACAGTGCAACCCTAGATCACACACACTACGGTGTGGTCCAGAGACAAGAGCTCTAACTCTAATGTGTATCGAAGAATGCTTGGCTGCCGTAGGAGAATGTAGGCAGAAGGCAAGGGATCAGTTCTTGATAATAAAAAAGTGTGACAATTGAACAATATTTGCCAAACAAAGAATTTGGTCTACAATTTATGTAGATAACTTTAGTGGTAGGTACAGCAATAGAAATTAGTTTACTTGGTTAGATTTGAGCTTTGCAGATTTCTTTGAGCTAAGGTTATTTCCCTTTCTTCATTGTATAATTGTGTACCTCTATATTTGTGCAAATGTATATACACACACATTCATAGTCCTCTCACAAATTTGTATAGCTGTGGGACAAATCAGCTTCTATTGGAGGATCAGCTTTAACTATAGGAGCACCAGAAAGCCACTCCTCTCCTATTCCACGGTGTCCAGAAACTTTAGGCTGCTTTATGCTTCTCTGCCTGGTTGGTTTATTCCATATAACATTTGGCAGATTAATTGCAGCATTTTAAGGAGGGTGATGAACACTAACATGGTATAACACATAAAGTAGTATCTGAAGTTTTGAAAGGTGCTTATTGTATTTCAGGGTCTTTGCTTAGGTTTGGAGGTAGATGGTCATTAATCAGGGCAGGGAACTAGGAGGTAGTTGGTTATGGCTCTGCAGCTGCTCAGTTGCTTTGGTCTGTAGTTTATTCATCCATAAGTAGAAGGATATAAGTTATAGTTTTTTTGTTTTGTTTTTGTTTTTTCGAGATGTAGTTTCGCTCTTGTTACCCAGGCTGGAGTGCAATGGCATGATCTCGGCTCACTGCAATCTCTGCCTCCTGTGTTCAAGCAATTCTCCTGCCTCAGCCTCCCGAGTAGCTGGGACTACAGGCACGCACCACCATGCCCAGCTAATTTTTGTGTTTTTAGTAGAGATGGTATTTCACCTTGTTGACCAGGATGGCCTCGATCCCTTGACCTCGTGATCCATCCGCCTTGGCCTCCCAAAGTGCTGGGATTATAGGCGTGAGCCACCGCGCCTGGCCATAAGTTATAGTTTTTAAGATCTTGACCACCTCAGCTCTTCCAAGAGAATAAATGCAGCAAGAACAAAATAAAGCCAAAAAACAAATGAAAACTACTACTTATCTTAAATGTATCTAGTGTTGGATCTCAGAAAATGGTATCCCCAAGTGAAGGCCTCAGAAGCAGAGTCAGGAACAAATTTTCCTTTGATCTTTTCCTGCTTTCCTGTCACTGGCCCTTCATTTTCCCATGAGGTTAGCCACAGAAACTAGAATTTTAGGCCAGGTGTGGTGGGTCACGCCTGTAATCCCAGCACTTTAGGAAGCCAAGGTGGGCAGATCACAAGGTTATGAGATTGAGACCATCCTGACCAACATGGTGAAACCTCGTCTCTACTAAAATACAAAAATTAGCTGGGCACGGTAGTGTGTGCCTGTAGTCCCAGCTACTTGGGAGGCAGAGGCAGGAGAATTGCTTGAACCTAGGAGGTGGAGGTTGCAGTGAGCCGAGATCATACCACTGCACTCTAGTCTGGCCCCTGGCAACAGAGTGAGACTCTGTCTTAAAAAAAAGAAGAAGCAGCTAGAATTCTTCTTTTCCAAGGTGGGCCATAGTCACCAGAATCCCTTGTCTCAACAATTAGCCATAAAACCTAAAAATATTATTCAACTCCCCTCATGCCCCAGCTTTCTGTGTAAGGACTGGCCTTAAAAATTTATCTGACCTACCTTGTGTGATTACAGGTCATAAGACCCCCCATTCCAGACAGGTTTCTTCTCCATATCCAGAAAGCAGCAAAACAAAACTCTAAGAGCCCAAGAAAAATCTGAAGTGATAAGCCTTACTGGATTTCCCCACTCAGTCTATTAAGATTAGATCCTACCCTTTTTGTCCAATTGTATTTCTACATGGCCGGTCCATACTTCTTTGTTAAACCTAAACATAAAAATGGGCAATATCCTCTATAGCTTTGGGTCTTCATTCTAAAGGCTCCCATGACATGTAAAATTATGATCAAATCAATTTATATGCCTTTTATCCTAATAATATGCCTCTTGCCAGTGAACCCTCAGAGAGCAAAGAGAAAGTTCTCTTGGCCCCTATAATAGAATGAATCATATGGTAAAACTTTTACTCTTTTAGAGCGTATTTTAATGGTGTTTTTAAAAAACGTGTTTCAAATAGTTATTAGAAGAATTGAGAACTTTATAGAATTAACAAATAATAATTTGGAGTTCTAGGTAGATGGTTTCTTCAGAATAGACACTTTAATGGCCCTTAGGAAAGGATAAACCAAGCAGAGGGCACGGTTAGGAAGATATGTGTTAGGGCTGGCTGAGCCTGGAATCTGACAGAGAATTCATTAGTCATTGACATTGCAAATATTTGTATTCATTTGTTAAAGGAAAATTGGATGAGCACTGCACATTTCTTGCCATATAGAAGATACTGCTGAATGAATCCAGGCGTTCACAGTGTGCTTGGAGCGTTAGAGAAAATGATGGTGCAGCTGATAGTTGACCTGGAAACTATTTCCAGCTCTATCATTGCCATTATATTGTTATGATCATAATTATACTTTACTCAGGATTTTCTCCTTCTCGCCTCTAAGTGCCTTAATCATTTAGATTCTATGTGTGCATCATTTCTTGATACCTTTTTTGATTTAGGCACTGTTTTAAATCTTATGATCACTTAATGTGCCTAAGTACAAATTTCATTTGTTTTCATTACTAGAACTTTCTTCCAGTCCTTTTGACAAGAGTAACTCAGTAATTAAGGGGGCAGTTAGTAAAGAGATAATAGATTAAATATCAATTCAAATAAAGTTTGCTAAAGGTCAACAAATGAATTCTTTGATTAAAATAAACTTCTGGTTATTTCTGATGTGCATATTATTACGAGGACCTCGAGAAGAAGTTTTGTGATATAAAAAAATTCATTAAAGATGAGTTGAACTCTTCAGAAATACTTCCTTAAAAAGATTCTGTAGTTCACACTTCACCAGGCTAGGCAGGACTTCCTCTTGCTTAGTGTGAATTAAGAAGGTTTAGAATATATGAATGAGTTTTAGATGATTTGTCGTATGAATGACCCATGACCTGTTCGTTCCTGAGTAGTCAGGATTTGGCAGTGCTGTACAATGTTTACCTCCATTTATTATTGTCTTTTGTTTGAATTATATGAGACTATGTATATATATAAGAAATAGAATATATTTTTCTCAAATGTTTACATTTTAAAAGGATAATGATGATGTGGAAAATAATAGTGCATGACTAAGGCTGCACAAATGAAATGAATGGATAATTTGTGAATCTAATATTTTTGGATGTTATTATGACACCGTATATAATAACTTTGAAATATGCACATTATGCTAGATTTTTTTGGGTAGGATTGATTTTTAAAATTAATTTATTTTTTTACCCATTAAAATAAAGGTAATTGTAGGTGATTTTAAAATAATTTTATGCCATTCTTAAGTCATCTGAGGTTAATTCTGTCTCTCTTCAGTCGTCCCACTTGCTGCCTCCCAGTGCCTGCTCCAGAACTAGTCCCAATGAGGAATGCAGGGTCTTGATCCACACTTGAGGGATAAGACCAAAATGTCTCTTTTAAGGGTGCTTGAATTTAAATTTTGGCTCTTTTAAAGACTGAAAGGACTGACTTAAATTGTGGACTTTGGGACAACTCTTCAGATATGGTATATTAGAGGGGGTGAGTTTGCAAGGGCATTCAATTATACATACTACCTAGTGGCTATTTTTCCAGGACTAGCATTAGGCAATATTTTCAAAATGAATATCTTCTTGAAATTATGGACCTAGTCTTCAAAATTTTAATGACCACACTGAAATTTAAAAAGGGAAAACATGTTTTATTTTTCTATAGTGGATGAACAAATCAACTAGAAGGAAGGCGTAGCACAGCCAATTACAGCTAATTCATATTCAGAACCCTTAATTTTGTTTCTGTGTTTCTTGCTGATGACCTCATGAGAAGAGGAGGGTAATAAATGATAAGAACTTCATATGTGATGTAATCTAGTATTTGGGATACAAGATCTGATGTTAGTCATACTCTTCCACTTTCTCCCCTTTGAAAATTACAGTGGCTGTTTCCTGATGAAGAGATAATGGAATAAAAAATTATAATAGGACTGTCTGTTTGCCTAGATAAAAAAGAAAATATAATCAGCATTGATATCAAGATGTTAATTACAAAAAAGGAAGGAGCTTGCTAAATCCTCTCTTAAAGGAAGAAACATGCCACACACAGTGGAGGCTAAATCATTCTCCCTGGATTCCTTACTACTTACGTTTAAAAATCATGTTGACCTAGGACTGGCTCAATATGTTCGAATGATTATTTACTATTAAAGGATTTTGGGATTCTTTTCTACTTTAGGATCAGTACGACTTCGTGGCAGCAAAAATGAGTTTGAAGGCACAGTGGAAGTATATGCAAATGGAGTTTGGGGCACTGTCTGTAGCAGCCACTGGGATGATTCTGATGCATCAGTCATTTGTCACCAGCTGCAGCTGGGGTGAGTGCACCCATCCCTGACCAGATCAGTCTGCTAGAATCTGAGAATAATGCTGGGTGCCCGTTATTGCTTTGTAAAGCTTCTATCTTCCTTTCTTACTGTCACTTTCCTCATTCTCATATATCACAAAAGAGCTATAAAGAAGGGGCCCCAAATGGAAGAAATGAATTCTCTCACATGGAAATGTACTTCACATAAAATTACCTGGGCTGAACTAGGAAATGGGCAAATACTAAGTGGGCAAATTTAAAAGTGTCTTTTGGTCTTTGTCTTTAACAAAATATAGAGGCCTTTGAGGCAAGTTTTGCCTTTTCAAATTACTAGAATTTGATTCTAAGAATTATAGTTTATTAGAATTATAATCAATTAATTAAATTATTCTATTATAATTACTAATTATAATTAATGAGCACAGCCTCAGGTTGTTGCTGTCATTTGATTTTATCTTACTACTTTTATCCACCCACAGATTCCATTTGTGTGTGAAGGGGGCAATGTTTACTGTGCCCTTGTCCTTGGTGGGGAAGTAGTGATGTCCCAGGCCTTAGATTTTGGTGCTGAGGTCCTGTGGAAGATGGGAGCTTCTGTCAGCTCTGGCAGTGTCCTGCCGTGCCAAGGAGCTGCCAGCCTGGGAACTGGCTCCACTGTAACCCTAGGCACCATCTTTAAAACAAGTCAGTGTATACTGAATTCATCAGTCCCAGCATCTTTATTCCTTGTGCCATAGAGTTTCACCAGGAGCAGAAGGCTTCTTTCTGGGACAACAGGTTTTATTTTTGTTTTTTGTTTTTTTTTGCATCTCCTTTATATTTTTTAAGTGCACTCAACATATGTTTTTCTTGGCCTTTATCACCAGAGATCTTTAGAAAGCATGGAAAATATTTTGTTACAAAAAATGCAGTCTAAAAGACTGAAAAAAAATGTTTGCAGTTTACAAGTATTTTGCATTAATGATCAGAGTGGTAATAGCTAATAATGATGGCACAAAATGAAGAAGTAGAACTTCAATTTACCGGATTTCTTTTGTCTTCCCACTGGGAAGGTGAGGAATGAGTATTGAGTAGAGCCAAAGCTTGAAGGCCTAAATTTTGCTCAGATTTTGATGCTGTTTGAATGATAAATAGGGTTATTATAGTAAATTAAAGTTAATGAATTATTTTAATAAGTTGATATAAATCAGGATGAAAGAAGGAATAAGGCCAGAGCCTATGAAGTGTTATGGTGCTGGGAAATGTTAATTACTGATTTTATCATGAACACTTAGTCTGGCAAATAACATTGGCAGGTGGGCAGGTCACAAAGAATGTTGATTTCATGCTTTTTCCTTTGAGGGGCAAGAGATGTGATAAATTTGTAGGCTGATGTCAGTGTTTTCCTTTATGTACATACCTATATGTGCTTTTGTTACCCCTGAAAATCAGAAAGGAATAACATTTTCTATGATATACAAAGAATCTCATTTTCTATGAGATACAAGAATACTATAGTGAAGGTGGGAACTACCGTGTGGTTTATTTGTCTTTTGATTGACGAAAGTATGTAAACTATTATTCTGCAAACAAACTTCAGATAAGCCGATCCAATGATCCAACTGCTTATATATTATTATCTCTCAGTAGTCCATTAAAAAAAAAAAAGAATTGCACAATAAAACCAGGGAGACTCAGCTTCATTGCTGTGAAGACACATTTATATTTTAGATATACCCCAGATGTTTACAGTTTGGTTGATGGAATGCTGCAGCATGGAGACAATTGGAGAGATCACCATGTAAATCAGATAAGCATTTCATCTTTTTAAAATTTAATACCCGTTTGTACACAGCAGAAGTTACTTACAAAAATATGTGGATTAGATGAGCTAAAAGCAGAGCCCATCTGTATGCTATTATTTTCGTTTTTTCTTTTTTAAAGCACTCTCCTGGTGTTAGCAAAGAGATGCATGTTGCTATTTTATTAATTGGTTTCAAAGTCTTGCTAGCAGATACTATATACAGTGTAAGGTTTTAAAAATTATAAATGGATTGCCTTCCTTGATACTATTGTGCTTAGATGTACTAATAATAATTTTGAAAATGTTAGCCTAGAATGTTAGAATCAGAAAGAATCTTCAAGCATCCAGATTTTTTTTTGACACATTAGAAGTTAAAGCCTTTGCATCACTTGCAGCTTGGCTTTACTTTTAGCATAGTCCAGACTGGGGTCCAAGCCTCACTGAAGCTCATGACACTCTTCTTGCACAAAGCCTTACTTTTTATATCTACAGTACTTGGTTATTTTCTTGTAAATCAATCATTGATGGTAAAGGCACATAAAGTAGTTATTCAAGATTGATGAAAAGAATTCCATAGGTAAAAGCAACCCACATTGTGATTTGATGTTTTAATTTCCTTGAAATTAATATAATCTGTGTTTTTTTTCCTTCTTTTCTTCCACATTCATCTTTGTTGATTTCTTCCATTGTTTTTCAAATGTTTTGATAAAAAGTTTTGCCTATATTTGATAAACCTAATATCGATCATTGTACTTCCAGAGGAAAAGGAATAGCAAAACAAACGCCGTTTTCTGCACTGGGCCTTATTCCCGTTTACTGGAGCAATGTCCGTTGCCGAGGAGATGAAGAAAATATACTGCTTTGTGAAAAAGACATCTGGCAGGGTGGGGTGTGTCCTCAGAAGATGGCAGCTGCTGTCATGTGTAGCTTTTCCCATGGTAAAAAAAAATTTTTTTAAAGTTCTGTTGTTTTACTTTCATTATGTTGTTACATTTTAAACATGATTCCAGATGATGAAAGTGTCTTAGTTAAGTCATTTCCTTAAAGAGTTTAATTACGGAAATAAGTCTGAATCAAAATATTTTGCCATCTAATTAGCCTTCACTATAAGGATAGCTAACAATTTGAATTCCATTTGATTTTCCAATAGTATCTCATTTTTTAACATATTTTCTATTTTATATAATTTGCTTAAAGAATATGTTGCATATGTTGTATGCAATATGATATATACTATATAATATATTATAAATGAAATATATATTTTAATAGTGGAAAATTATGGTGGAATCAAGATGGAAAATAATCATGAAAGTCAAATATAGCATACAGCAAATACAACAAAATATTTTAACTTTGTGTAATGCAATATAATTATGGCATCAGTGTTCTTGGGGCTATAGAGAGCACCTTCCCTAAAAATGGATTGTTGACTTGAATGTGGGCTTCTTCCAAGCTTCACAGAGTAGGTATGTGGTAATTATCATTATTGGTAGAGTATATAGGTGTGTTTATGTTCATGGAAGAAGAGGAAGGAACAACTGCTTTTAAGAGGGTGAAAGAGTTTTCTGGGTACCGTGGTATATTTTAATGATTGATCACAACCTGGAGCTACCATACTCTCACAGTATACCTTTTTGCATTTTCCTTGGAGATAGCAGCATGACCACATATCCCAGGACTTGGAAAGGTAGCAGTCAGTCCAGGGCAGTGGTTTTTGTTTGAGTACAAGTATCAGGGGAGGAATAAGGAAACTCATACCACAAAACAGAGAGAGACCCAGTCTGGAATAATTCCTTCGGATTAGCTGGAAGAGCCAATGGAAGGATATAGTCCAGATGTATGCTCCAGATTACAGCTCTGAGAGCTGTAATCCCTTTTTTGGTTGGGAGAGGCATATGTTAAACCTTGATGTCTTATAAGTTTTCCCTTTTTTTCTTTTGATTCTCTGCCTTTGGATTATGCTACTTTTGCTAAATCCAATGCTGCTTCAAGGATGATGTGACTTGGACCCAATAATTTATTGCTTTTTGTAGATTATTGGTTTTACTCTATGCTCAACCTGATTGATAAAATGTTTTTCAAGTAGTAATGTAAAAATTTTAAGAACAACAAGTTTTTTTTTCAGGATATCTATCTACATTTTTTTACTCCTTCCACCTTCTGTAATCTATTCATCTGTTTATATTCTGGTTGTAAATATAGTTATATGGTTATCTATAAACATATATAAAATATAGAAAGTTGTGATAAATTAGAGGTGAGAACTTAAAAAGATTCTCTCATGGTAGATTAAATGAGAATGTGGAGTTGTACAGCTGAAGTCAGCAAACATTGAGTTCACCTTAAGGGGTAGTGATGGAATTTTAGTATACATCCCTTAAGTTTGGGAATTATATTTAGTGTCTTGTCATTCTGTACTTGTAGCTTTTCCAACATTTACAGAGTAGAAGATTGCATACAAGTTGGATACAGAAAATAGCAGCAATCTAAATGAAAACACGTGGGGAGTTTAATTATCTATAAGCTAAATATGAGTCAATTGCTTTACCAAATTTTCTTTCAGATGATTTTTGCTTTTGTTGGAAGGATGGGGCTGTTAACTAAATCTTGTCCTTGTGCTTTTCTGTATTTTTTATATTTTAACAATTAGCCAAAAAGAAAAAGAAACCACATTTTAAAATAAAACACAACGTAGAAGAGTGAAAGGTGGTATGCCGTAAACAGTCTAGGTTCTACATGGTTTTAAATTTTCTCTTAAAATTTTTTGTTTTTCTGTTTTCTCCAAGCTTACCAGGTAAGGAAGAGTATATTAAGAAATGTATACATGCTTTTCTATATTTTTTCACATTTTGCAAGCTTTTTAAAGGAAAAATAGACATTATAATTTCTGAGAATTATATTACCATCATTCAGCCATATTGATTAAACCTGTCTTTATTGATTAACAAATTGTAAGTGCTAGTTAACTTATACAAGTAAACAGTATATGCAGATATTCACTAATCTAAATCTCTGTTACAAAACTGAAATATGAGTGTTTGCTTTGGCAGCACATGTACAAAACTCAAATATGATATTTGAATTTAAGTGTGAATTTCCAAATGCCATTTACTGCTTGTTATACTGTGGAAAATTAGAAGCATATTTCATACAGAGAAATGATTAGTAGTTGGCGAAAAGTGCAACTAGACTTCGTATTTCATACAGATAAATGATTAGTATTTGGCAAAAAGTACAACTAGGGACCCAGTCTGTTAATTTTTACCATATTACATCCTTTATTTTAGTAAAATTAGACTGCCTTACTCTTTGCCAGACACATTCAGCTTTGTGCTTCTTTATTTTCACAGTGTTCAAGTGGCCTGAACACACTTCCCTCATCTCTGACTTCCAAATCCCAGCTGTCTAGGCCTTCTTAAAAAAATAGCTTTTTCACAAGCAATTCCCTAACTATGTTCAACCATGAGTAAGATCCTTTGCTTCTGAACCACTGTAGGGTTTTTTGTCTGTACTTGTTTTTATCTGTGCCTTTAGGCAGTAAACTTCTTAAGGGCAGGGTCTGTCTAGTGTCAGTGTCCCTTTGAAGGCCCTGCCACACTGATCATAACACCTTGTACAAGGCATTGTCTGATATTTGTTTGTTAATCAGAAATTAATGAATGTATGTTGCCAATTATTTTTTCTTGTTTGGGATATCTTTTCTAGGTTTTCAGCATTGCTTGCCAGTTGAGGCAGTCAATAAATAATGATTATATGCTTCTATATACTAGGCACCTGAAATACACAGGTAAAAAGGAATACAGTGTCTCTGTCCTCATTCTAGCCAAGAGGAGAGAGACAATTGACATGTAAACAGTAAATCAATGACAATTTTAGATTAAAGTAAATACTCTCAGGAAGACAGAATTAGGCAATGTAATAGGAAGTCCCTTAGTGTGCTGTCTTAGCCAGGGCGGAGAAGAGATAGAGAAGTTCATAGTCTGACAAGGGCTAGATCAGGGCATTGTAGGTTATGAGAATGTAATCACAGTTGATGGTCCTTATCAGAGAAAATGGATATGAACTCATTCATGCCCAAATAATTCCAATATTGTTCTGTTTAGGTACTGGCCATGATGTCCAGCAACTTGTTATAACGAGTTAGATATTAACTGTGAGCTGATTTTTACAAATACGTGAATAATTGTATACTGAAAACAAGTATGTTATAGATATGTGTCATTTTTAATAATGACATATTGGTAATGCTCAAGTTACTGTAACTAAAAAAAATCAATGCCACCACTATAATACCATAAAAATCAAACATGTTTCCAGTAATCTGCAGCTTTTGAGTGTGCATTTTCTGGTTTTTGTGCTTGTTGGGGAAAAGTGGATTTAAACCATTTTCTCCTACGAGTTACTTGTATTCATGTAATTCAATTTGGGACATTTTAATTGGCCAAGATTACCATACCATATATATATATATGTATGTCCATATCACTGGTGTGGTTTAATAAATATTATTTAATTATTGAGAATGGCAAAAAATATAGATTATACCTAATCTTATCAATCAGTGTAAATGCAGAGGTTTTGCTTGTTTTTAATTTCACATTGCACAGGCCCAGCATTCCCCATCATTCGCCTTGTTGGGGGCAGCAGTGTGCATGAAGGCCGGGTGGAGCTCTACCATGCTGGCCAGTGGGGAACCGTCTGTGATGACCAATGGGATGATGCCGATGCGGAAGTGATCTGCAGGCAGCTGGGCCTCAGGTTTGTTTTTACTACTCTTGCTTTGGTTAAACCTTTGAATATATTATTTCCATACCCAAAAGCAGGTGCTGTTTGTTTAAATTGCACATTTCCTTCAATAAATAGAAAAAGTTACCTTTTGATCTTTGTAGTAGGGCTATAGGCTTCCTGAAGAGTAGCTATATGTACTCTGTAGGTTTAACCTGCTTGTATCTGAATGAGGCTGATTTTATGTCACTAAGAATCTAAGCTTTTACTGCTTCTCATTCGTAGTCTATGTTCCTCTTAGGTAGTAAGCAGCACTGTCAACTATAGTGACTTAATCAAATTCCATACGATGAAACAGTATCAACTCAGTTTAACTTGTAGTCCTGAAATATTGTCTGAACTTTTGAACTTCACTTCCTTGTTAGGTATGTGCTTAGAACAAAGGATATTTATTGATGTACAAAGGAAATATTTTCCCTGTAGGGTTGGAAAGGAAGCCTATGTCATGAAACAGCAGTCTGAAAATCGACATTCCAGGTTGCCTCAGTTGGGATTATTCTGGAGTATTATAATTTTAGACCTTCTAATCCCTCTCTTTAGTGATTCTGAACATTGGTATAACAAGTCTAAATGTTTATCTAAAATTATATTGGGGGATCTTTTAAAAGTTAATCATTTTCTTCAGATTTTAAAAATATTTCATTTAGCACTGAGGGACCAGTGATGGGGAGGCCTGTTCTTATCTGTCCATGTGTTCAGTTAACTGTAATCCTTGACTGCAGCATGAGTGTTAAACCTTGAACTATTTATATGATTCATTTTTTTTGCATTTTTAAATAATTGGCTCTTTTTTCCAAAACTCTATGCTATATTGAAGTATTTGAAAGTAAAATATAGACATTTTAACACTTTGTCTATGAGCACTTCAGCATGCACCTCTTGCAAATGAGAACATTGTTCTACATAGTCAAATTATCATTCTCACAACTAATCATTGGTAGTCATTCTTAATATTGTCTAATACTTCATCTTATTCATATTTTCAGAGTTATCCCTACAGTGTCCTTCTGAAGCAGAATTTAGTCCTGGAGCAATCTGGATGTTATGCTCTTAAGTCTCTTTTACTTTAGAAAGGCCTGGATCTTTTTTTTTTTTTTTTTTTTTTTTTTGAGACGGAGTTTCGCTCTTGTTACCCAGGCTGGAGTGCAATGGCGCAATCTCGGCTCACCGCAACCTCCGCCCCCTGGATTCAGGCAATTCTCCTGCCTCAGTCTCCTGAGTAGCTGGGATTACAGGCACGCGCCACTGTGCCCAGCTAACTTTTTGTAATTTTTAGTAGAGACGGGGTTTCACCATGTTGACCAGGATGGTCTCGATCTGTTGACCTCGTGATCCACCCACCTCGGCCTCCCAAAGTGCTAGGATTACAGGCTTGAGCCACCGCGCCCGGCCGGCCTGGATCTTTTTAATGGTTTTTTGTTTTGTTTTGTTTTTCCCTAACACTGTCTTGTTGAAGAGACTAGGCCAGTTGTTTTGGAGAATGTCCCATCTTCTGAATTTGTCTCCCTTATTCCTCCTGGTGTCATTTAGTTTACTACTCTTGAAATTCATAAAATTAGAGTTTTGGTTTAAAGGCATGATTAGAACGAAGCAAACATTTTGTCTAGAAATCATCACAGGTGATATGTTCTCATCTTGCATCTCACTAGGAGTCACGAAAAACTCTGGTTTTCCACACAAATGAAACTGAAATTGAGCACTGGTTTAAGTGACATCAGCCTGATCCTTTACTGTAAAGTAACATTTTCATCTATAAATGACTATTGGACCTAAATGCTAATTTATAGTTCATATGTGGGACAGGAATAAACACAGCAAATCCTGTGTTAGTAGGTTTTGTTAGGATTACCAGCGTTGTTTACTATGGTATGATCATTTTATTTGGGTTGGTCAGGAATAGGGCTTCTTGGTTTCTTTTGAAAAACTAACAAGAACATTTTTGAGACAAGTTTTTTTTTTTTTTTTTTTTTTTTTTTTTTTTTTTTTTTTTTGAGACGGAGTCTCGCTCTATCGCCAGGCTGGAATACAGTGGCATGATCTTGGCTCACTGCAATCTCTGTCTCCCAGATTCAAGCAATTCCCCTGCCTCAGCCTCCTGAATAGTGGGACTATAGGCACGCCCCACCACACCGGGCCAATTTTTTGTGTTGTAGTAGAGATGGGGTTTCACCATGTTGGGCCAGGATGGTCTCGAACTCCTGACCTTGTTGTAATCTGCCCATTTCGGCCTCCCAAAGTGCTGGGATTACAGTCATGAGCCACTGCGCCTGGCCAAAACAAAATTTTTTAGAAGTGTTTTGACTGGGTATCAATTTCAAGACCAATTTTATCGAAGTTTCCAGGTGCTGCTGTTGGAGTCAGCATAGCATATGATTATGGGCATATGTTCTGGACTCTGAAAAACCTGCATTTAAATCACACTTTTGGAGTTGAGAAAAGCTAGAGAATATCTCTTAGTTGCAGTTTTCTCATCTATAACATATTTCTTAATTTATAGGGTTTTGTATCTACAAGCAGTTAGCCCACATAGTAAGTACAATATACATTGGCTATCAATGTCACTCTGATTAGGTACTTTTAAATTTCAAAGATATTGCTAAACATTCAAAGTAAACAGCATTTGGTAGTGACAGAACATCAAACACTATTCTCCTATCTGGAATTTCTATTTAGTTAGCTGTATCTATGAACTTTTATATTTTTAAAACACTCTAATGTGTATATATGCATATTCACTGGGTTATCAGTTATGTGTTCAGTGATGTGCTAATTGATTTTCATGTGAGTTACTAAGAAAATTATGTCTTTGCCAAAAATATTAAGAACTTTAAGGGTATAGTAATGGTATTTTTAATATTATCAGTTATAATATGGATTATTCTAAGTTTAAACTATAAAGCATTTTTGATTATTAATATATTTCTATGGGAAATAAAATAAAATATATTTTATTGCTTAGAAAAATGCACAGACCATTTAAGTGACTTACTGAATATTAGTTACATTACAGTTATTGAAGTGATTCCAACAATTCATGTTGTGGCCAGGTGCAGTGGTTTATGCTTTGGGATGCCAAGGTGGGAGGATAGCTTGAAGACTAGACTGGGCAGTATAGCCAGATCCCATGTCCACAAAAAAATTTTTTTTAATTAGCCAGGTGTGGTGGAGCACAACTATAGTCCCAACCACTAGGAAGGCTGAGGTGGGAGGATTACTTGAGCTTAGGAGGTTGAGACTGCTGTGAGCCATCATCACATCACTTATATTGCAGCTTGGACAGAGACAGCAAGACTCTGTCTCTAAAAAATAAAAATAGAAATTCATGTTGTAATACAGAGTTCATTCTTGAGAGACAAATTTTTTTTCACATAAGTAGAAACAGTTCTTAAACAAAGGCTGTATTGATGATGACAGTCAGTTACATAGAAAGAATATACAGATAGAAAGAATCACAAGGAAGGCCATGTTAATGTTGAACACACTCATGGGTGAAGTAAAGTGTTAGTGCCTTTCTCAAACACTAGCTCATTGCTGTTTTTCGTATGAGGGGATTCTTTGGAAAAGTGATTAAAATATACAAGCAAAAATCCTCCACAAGTACTTGTAACAAATAACAAACCACCTTTGTAGAGATTTGTTTTTATTATAAGTACTCTGATGCTCTGAGCTGACATTCTTGGTTTACCTTTCTTGCACTTGATTTTATAGTTCTCTTATAAGTTTGCATTAAAGCTCTACAACTCTTCTTATCTATCATTCGTTTTTCTCATTTAAAGGCTAAGTACTTTCAGATGAGATCGTTTTTAATGGCACATGGTTGATAGCAGACGCATATTTGTTGCTTGTCTCAATTTAAGATTCCTTCTTAAGCAAATTTCATTTCAGTCTTATTTGCTTTGTTGAATTCCCACAGGAAAACTACATCATGCTTTTCTGGAGTAGTGGTTACAGTTTCTTTATGAGATGCTGTCACTGTTGACCTTCATCTTTTAATGGTGTCCGTATATTTTGGTAGCTGGCAAGCTTCCTAAATGCAAAAGGAATTATTATACTTAAGATACTTAAATTTGATTAATGCAGAGAAAGATGAGCAGCGGGAAAGAGGCAGCCAGATGTTAGAAAATCAGATAACTTGCGAATGCACATGGACTCAGTGAAGTTTAGGTGGAGACATTTTAATTAAACTTCCTTTTTATGTGCTTAACATTAAAAGCATTTTCCATGTATTTCAAAACTCTTAAAAGAGTTTTGTACTGTGACATCATATTTTATTTTGTGGATGTGCCGTAACTTACATGGGAATTTAAAATTTGTGGATACTTTCTTTCCTCTTAGGGCATTTTCATTTTTACTTTTTTTGTTGTAAAATTATATAGAACCATATTATTGAGTAGTTAGAGTACAAATTCTTCTGATATAAACTGTTCTTTAAAAATTGTTTTTTGCCAGGTGTAGACGCTGATGCCTATAATCCCAACACTTTGTAGGGTTGAAGTGGGAGGACTGCTTGATCCCAGTAGTTCCAGACTAGCCTTGGTAACATATGAGACCCCCAGCTCTACAGGAAAAAAAATTAGCCAGTTGTGGTAGCACATACTGGTGGTCCCAGCTACTTGGGAGGCTGAGGTGGGAGGATCGTGAATCCAGGAGGTTGAAGCTACAATGAGTTGTAATTGCACCACTGCACTCTAGCATGGGTGACAGAGTGAGACCCTGTTAAAATTTTTTTTTTCTTTGCTCTTTTATTTTACTGTTCATTAAATTAAAAAAAAATATTGTATAAACCAAGCTTGTCCAACCCACAGCCTGCAGGCCACATGCAGCCTAGGATGGCTATAAATGGGGCCCAACATAAATTGGTAAACTTTCTTAAAACATTATGAGATTTTTTTTTCTTGCTTATCAACTATTGTTAGTGTTAGTGTATTTGATGTGTGTCCCAAGATAAGTCTTCTTCTAATGTGGCTCAGGGA